TGTGCATCCCGAGATTTAATCTCGGCCATAATTAAAAACAGAGTGCATGGCAGGCAGGATTGATGGATGCAGAAGTGAGCGAGGGACGTACTTCCTTTAGGGTGACATCAATCAGCTTTTTGTCAAATTTCTTGAGGCGTTCGTAGAGGAGCATCGTGGCCTGGACACTGAAGGTTTCGTTCCACTGGGCAGCGCCAGCGTCTTTGGCGCCCGCAGCGAGTGGCGCATGCTTGGTCTCGCCGCGGTTGCCCTTCTTCGATCCTCTCTTCCACGCCAAGTAGACCTCCCTGGCTCCATCTTTGTCACCCACCGGCCCGAGGCCCGACACGCCCTTGAATGTGATCTCGAATTTGACCTTGACCGTGCTTTTGTCACCGCCTCCCCCACCCAGCTTGTGCATCTTGTCTCTCTCTGCTCTCTGTCTACGCTTCGTGCGTAGCGCCGTCGCGTTGCTGTCGCTCTCACGCACACCAAGTCACCACATTCCTCCGCACATTCCTCATACCTGGCATGCCATAAATTCCTCATAACGAGAATTATCCCAGAATTTGCCACACATAAAAAAGTGCCAGATAAAGCAGAATAAAATAGCCAACACAGGAAGAGAGAAAACCTCAAAAACATGGATGTGGAGAGCAGGGTGCACTGGTACGGGTGGGGCGTGGAGATGGGCCTGGAGCTTGGGGTGGACAACTGGTGGCCTGTGCATGAGGCGGAACTGCGGCGAGAGCAGGAGGCGCAGGTGCCATTCACAAAGCTAACGGCGGCGGTGCTGATGCCGCCCGCCGAGCTGTGGCCGCCCTTGCTCGCCATCAAGGCCCGCCACATGGCGCCCCACGTCCGGCGCCCCCCCTACCCGCACTTCACCGTGGCCTCGCCGTTCATCGACGCCGGCGAGTTCGACGACGCCGAGCTCAAGCTGCGCCGCGAGCTGCAGCACGTCCCGCCGGTCGAGGTGCGGCTGCGACGGTTCGAGTTCATGGCCGGCCAAAAGAAGGCCCTCACCCTCATCCTCGTGCCCGAGCCTGAGGCACGCCACCTCCCTGACCTCGAGCTTGGCCTTGCCCTCTCTGCATGTGCTTATCTCACCGCGCACACACCACACCGCGCACACACCACACCGCACACCACACCGCACACACCACATAGCCGGCCGATGGGCTGCAGCGAGTGTTTGAGGGCGTGGTGCGTGCGCTTCCCAAGTGCGGCGCACAGGCGCCCTTCGTGCCGCATCTGACGGTGGGTCACTTCGTCGACAAGGTGCAGGCCCCTACCTTGGGGTGTCGGGGCCAAAGGGAGTGAACTCATGCTCGAGCGTGAGTGCCCGTCTACAGGAAGAAGCGGAACGGATGCGGGCGCAGTACCAAAGCGAGTGGACAGAGCTGCGATTCACGGTGGGCGAGGTGCACCTCATGGCGCGCAGCACCGACGGCCCGTTCGAGTCGCGAAAGGCCATCACGCTAGCTGGCTCGCCATGAGCCAGAAGGTAGTGGCCTTGCTGGGATGTATGTTAAAAAAATAAGTATGCTTTATCATGTTCTACTACAACAGCCTACAACTACTGGTACTGGTAGTTGTTGTAGGAGCCATTATCGTAGTAGCCGCCCTCCTGGTACTGCTGCGACTCGTCGTAGTAGCCACCCTCCTGATATTGCTGGGATTCGTCGTAGTACTGCTGCTGCTGACCGTAGGCGTAGGCTTGCTGTTGCTGTTGGTGCTGCTGGACCGGCGCGCTGTAGGCCGTCTGCGGTTGTTGTTGCGCGGCGTACGCCGGATGACCCACCGGCTGCGGAGGCAGTGGGCCTGCCGGGGGCGTATGACGGAACGCAGCCTAAAGAAAGAGAGAAAGAGAAAGAGAAAAGACGATGAGAAGCGCGTTTGTGGGGGGGGGGGCTGTGGCGCGAAGATGAGTCGAACCGCGGGCTGGGTGGGACGAGGGCCTGCGGGCGGGGGTGGGCGGAAGGCGGCCGCCGGAGTTGCCTGCGCCGCAGGTTGCTGCTGCACCGGCCGCGGCTGCTGTTGGACGGCCAGCGCGGGCGAACTGGTGGCGGCGGCTCCACGCCCGGGGAGTGGGGCGGGTCGCGGCCCGGCCGGCGGCGGAGGCCGAAACTGCTGCGGCGAGCCGGCAGGCGATCCCTGGGCTGCGAGCACGGGAGGCCGAGGACCCTGCAATCGCCAGCGCCAAAGTGAGCAATCAATCACGTCGGGATATCAACACATGCAAATGGAGGTGGTGGGTACAGCAGGCGGAGGCGGCTTGAAGGCTGCTGCGGGCTGCACAGGCTTGTTGAAGC